CCCCAAAACCCCAAAACCCCAAAACCCCAAAACCCCAGCATCTACGCCATAAATTGAAAATCCACTAAAATTCCTCAAATTGCGTCATTTATCCTTCAAAAATTATCCTAAAATCTCAAAATCTCAAAATTCTAAACTACACATTCGAAAAATATGGAAACTTCTATTGAGAACTTCTTTAACAAAAACTGTACTTTCCCAAGTGATGTCAAAAGAAGGCTCAACACGATAAATATTCTTGACGGAAAATTAGAGATCCTTCAGCAGAAGTACGAAAGGCTGAAAGCTCAATTCGCAGTCAATCCCTACAATAAGGAAATATTTACCAGCATAGAAGGAATTTATAAGCGTAAGTGTACTTTTTATGGTCCTTTGCAGATGATTCTTACTGTTTATTTAGAAATGAAAGCTATACAACAGGAAAAATATGATCATTCAGTAACAGCCTTCATGATATATGAGCAAGCCTTAAGACAAACGGATAAGTTTATGAGTAATCTCAACCCACGTCAGATAACACCGAGATCAGTGGCTAACTCTGCTGATAATCCTTATGAGTACGAGAATTTTATGATGCAGGATCTGGAAGAAAAACCGAGTAAAACTAGGAGATCGAGGTCTTTTACAAAGAAAGAACTTAAACATCCCAGGTCAGATAGTAACACTACAACTCCGCCAAATTATCCAGAGGTCAAGGAGGAGTTTAAAGAGCCTTATCCAGTTATGTCAAAGCCAGAAGAAAACCCTATTTGCCCTTGAGGAGAAGTCAAAAATGATGACTGGACTGGCTGTGAGAGTGAAATCTTTTTCCAATCTACAGCTGATCATCGCAGTTAATTCTTGTAAGTTCAGACTCAAAGATTTAATTAGATATCATATCTTATGAATTTGATGTAATAATTTAAAACCTTTGATGGTTCTACCAAAATATTGCATTAGAAATTTTAGGCTAAACCATGATAGCTAACTTTATTATGAACTATAGAAACCATACAAGAAGCAAGGAAATCTTATCATTAATAACTTAGGTCAAGAAATGGGTACTGGCTGATACCAAACACCAAATTTAAGCCAGTTAATCTTGTTATTAGTTTCAATTTTCTTGATAATTTTGGGGTTTTGGGGTTTTGGGGTTTTGGGG